GGATCCCAGGGAGCTCCACCGCCCCTTCCTCCTTGGGAAGACCCAGTGAGAAGGCGCCATCTATGAACCAGGAGGTGAGTCCCCACCACTCCTGGCATCTGCCACACTGGGATCTTTAGCCTCCAGACCTGGGAGCAGTACACGTCTGTTTTTTGTAAGCCGCCCAGGTTGTAGTATTTTATCCTAGCGAGACAACATCTCCCTGTCCCTGTATTATTGAATGTGCATCATCTCTCCTGTCTCTGGCTGAGCTTTCATGCCTGTGCTGGTCTCCTGTAGGTTTTGGACCTGCCATGATGAGCGGTTCCTTTACATGCTGATGGAGTTTGTGCCGGGCGGTGAGCTCTTCAGCTACCTGAGGAACAGGGGCCGTTTTGCTGCGGCCACTGGGCTCTTCTACTCAGCCGAGATCATCTGTGCCATCGAGTACCTTCACTCCAAGGAGATTGTCTACAGGGACTTGAAACCAGAGAACATACTGCTGGACAGGGATGGCCACATCAAGCTCACAGACTTTGGGTTCGCCAAGAAACTGGTAGACAGGTGAGAGAAGCTTTGGTGGGAGCTGGAAGGTTATAAGGGACCTCAGTTGTTGTGATGGGTCATGCAGAGATGACGTGTTACCAGCGTTTAACTGCTCACCTGGGGCCCGAACCTGCAGGGAGAAATGAGGGTGGCAGACTTCAATCCCTCCTTCACAGTTGAGCTGGGCTGGGAATGTTGGCTGGATTTGGACGCACAGGAAGACATTTTTCTTTACCCCCATGGTGCACTAAATCAAATCATCACATTGCTGTTATTGTACAGAAATTATTATTATTATTCTTTGGAATTCATTGAGGGTATAAAGAATTAGGGCTGGTTGCCTTTGTTAGGTAAATTCCCTCTTATAATTGTGTCCCACCCCTGAGGATTGTATTGAAATTATAAGGAGATAAGTCTGATTTGTGTTTGGGTTGCTCTAACAGCAAAATAGATCTGCTGTGACGGAGATACATAATATCTTTTAAAATCCTGCGATGCTTTTGCTGGTGTCAGGGACTGTGGCAGGTGCTTTTTCAAATTCCTATAACTACACCCCCCTCTCCATTCCTCACACACCATTTCCTTTCTTTTTTTTGTTTTCTGAGACAGAGTTACTCTGTTGCCCTGGGGTAGAGTGCAGTGCTGTCATAGCTCACAGCAGCCTCAAACTCCTGGGTTCAATGATCCTCCTGCCTCAGCCTCCTGAATTGCTGAGACTACAGGTGCTTGCCACAACACCTAGCTAATTTTTCTATTTTTAGTAGAGATAAGTCTTGCTGTTGCTCTCGCTGGTCTCAAACTTACCTGAGCTCAAGTAATTCATGCAGCTTGGCCTCTCTGAGTGCTGGGGTTATGGGTGTGAATCACTACATACCGTCTACTTTTTCTTTGTTAAACAGCTTTTTTGAGCTATTACCCACATATCACAAATTTACTATGTGAAGCGTACAGTTCCTTGGTTTTTACCGTATTTATTCATAGATAGGTGCAGCCATCCCAAAATTAATTTGTATCAGTCCAGAAAGCAAATCCAATACCCTTAGCCTATAATCTTCCATCTTTTGTACTTTTCCTTGCTCTAAGCAGCTGCCAGGCATCTGATTTCTCTGTGCCTTTACCTACACTGCATGATTCACAGAATTGGAATCGTATGATACTAACCTTGGTGTCTGGCTTTTCTGTCTTGAGTATCATTTCTTTATGGGATAGCCACATTACAGCACGTCTCAGGGCCTCATTCCTTTTCATGGCCAAGTAATATTCCACTTGGTACCCAAACCAGCTTTCACTTACCCATTCTTTCCTTAACGGACACTTGGCTTGTTTCCCCATCTTGGCCACTATGAATAGTTGTGCGATGAACAGTCATGTCTACCCTGCTATTTTCTCTTTCCCACAAACACAGAGGCTTTGAATGCACAGAACCTTCAAGTTTTTTTTAAGAGACACTGTCTCATTTTATTACCCTCAATAGAGTGCTGTGGCATCGCAACTCATGGCAACCTCCAACTCCTGGGCTTAGGTGATTCTCTTGCCTCAGCCTCCTGAGTAGCTGGGACTGTCGGCGCCCTCCACAATGCCTGGCTTTTTTTTTTTGGTTGCAGTTTGTCCGGGGACGGGTTCGAATCTGCCACCATTGGTATATGGGGCTGGCGCCCTACACACTGAGCCACAGGTACAGCCCTGGACCTTCAAGTTGAATAGGTCCAAGGAGTTGGCATCACTTCCATGGTCTTCCTTACCCCCACATGGAAGGTACCTGCCACCAGCCACAGGTGGCATGTCTACCCCGAGACTTACAGGAGGTGACATCCAGTCCTTTCTGTGTGAGTAGATCGGCAACTTTATTATTCTCCACACATCAACTTTTATTTTACAAGAAGCATTTCAGTGTCTCTGTACGGTTTCAGAGACACCCATGCAGGATGGGAGACACCATCACAATTTTCAAAACCACAGACAAGATCCTTAGAGTGTCCGTTTTTCTATAGGAAATGTGGTTTTGAGACGGTCACAGGGTTAATACCTTGGTGACAGAATCAGGATGCATTTCCATCTATATGAGGACAACTTGTTCTGAAAACCGTCAGCGTTGGAATTGTTCTTCCGACATTGCCCCTTATCAAACGGATAGTAATGACCTCTGCGTGCCTGTCTAACCCTAAACTACCACTAATTATCATTTTCCTGTTTGGAGAGTGATGTTCCCAAGAATAACAGAAGGATTTGGGGTGAAATATTTAAATTAACAGGAAAGACCTGCTATTGCCCGATTTGGTGACAGTGAAATCATTTTTCCACTTTTCACTTTAAAAAGGTAATTTTAAAGGTGTATTTCTAGGGTAATATAGCACAAGAGTTGATACTGAGGGCAACAGGATGAGAGTCTGTCTCAAAAAAAAAGGGAACCACTTAACTCATGGGAGTGGTAAAGGCCTTCATTGGATGAAAACCTCTAACCTGTAAGGCATTGAGAAACGTCCCTCGGGTGCTGTGGACTGTCGGGCCAAACGCAGGATTTGAAATCAATTCCACTCTTCCTAAGGGGTTCCTTTATAGCTGAGATTCAGCTTGACATAGTGGTTAAATCCAGCCAGCCGTGTGTTTGCTTTTGTTTTTAAATAAAACTTTATTGAAACATAGTCACACCTTGGGGCCTTCGGAGCGCTGATACGGGGGTTGGAGGGGGGAGGAGGTGCGATAACGGGGACACATTTGGGGTGATGAGACAGTCCTGGAATGGAGAATACTTGTGCAAGAATGGGAATGTGCTTCCTGCTACCAAAGTAGACACACAAAACTGGTGGGAAATGTGAGGATATGACATTTTAGCACATCAGGAAATTACACATATGTGAAATGATAAATAATTACGTGTGCAATTATGAGTGATTGCATGCATAAGTGATTACACACATAACTGTAAATGATGGCATAAATAATTCTGAGTACCACTGTAAATATTTAATATAAATTATGATATAATGTATCTTAAGTACATATTGATAAAATTACATACCATTATGAATAATTATAATTGTCCATAATTGTGTGATTTTGTAAATGTATATAAACTGTTAAAATTAAATATGTAAATTTTATATACGATCAGACATATTTTTTGATTATAAATTTTCATTTGCATATTTATAAGTACAGAATTTATAATTTTTTAAAGTTAAAATTTACAAGTAATTATATATAATTATCCATGATTGTGTACTTTTATAAATATCTATTTTATTTATTTATTTGTCTTTTTTTTTTTTTTTTGAGGTCAAGTTTTA